CCATTAGAGGAGAGCAAAAGCAGGACAAAATAAGCAACAAAGAAACTATTTTTGCAGGAGCCATACTTGGGTAAAAGAAATAATTAAACACGAGATTATAATTTAGAACCTTTTTTTTTTTTTTTTNNNTTTATATATATATTTGGTGTATGCATGAACATGAAAGGTTGTAGGTGTATTTATAGTAGTTGATGATCAGATAGTTTGATTTGGATTTGAAATTTTAATCAGACATGGAATAGGAAGGATATAGAATTGTATTTATATTTTTATAATAGTTGATGGTTAGTATTTTGTAATTCTAATCAGACATGGATTAGGATGGATATTATTTAACTTTGTACACGTCTTACATTTATAGAGTCCTAAGCGATGACTAATATATAGTTGTATTCAAATATTGTTACTGCTCAACCAAATCACTAATTAAAAATTTTTCTTATTTATTTTTTAATTTTATATTTGAAATACCTCTTAAAACTTGCATTATTATTTATTTAGTTTATATTTATTAAAATAAATATATTATTGTATCTATACTTATATTAAAAGCTATACTATTTACTAAATATAGTATGTAGAATAGTCAATCATAATTAATAATTTGCTATTTTTATCAAGCATTTAATTAATGCATCTAATATTTTTGGTATGCAAATCAAATTAGCATTTAATTAGTTCCTAAAATATTGGGTATGTAATATTAATTTAGGAATATCCATGTATTTTCTAAAATGTTGGTATGCAATACGTAAAAGAAGATTTTATAATTTTTTAAATATAAAATATTGCAACACGTAAAATATTCCAGTTATTTTTTTATTTTATTTTAAATATATAATTTAATCAATATTTAATGCATCCTACAAAATTGGATTTAGTTTAATTCTCCATATAATTGGTTATAACTTTTTCAGTTGTACTTTTTTATTTATTTATTTTACACTTTTAAATTAATGAAGCTCTCCGAAAATACCAAATCAAATGATTTATGAAAGTTTTTTTTTTGTTTTTTTTTACAATTTTAAATTTATATACCCAGCTTAAAAAAACTCATCGCATAAATATGGATGAGTTTAAGAAAAATTTCATAACCCAACTTATAAAATTCTATCTCCACGAGTCAAAAATATCACATTCTCATCTATCGTAACAACTTTAAAGATAAATAAATAAAAGTCTAATTACTACTATAAATCCATTATCTATATGAATTTTTTAAAAAATTAAATTTCACCTGTCTAATTACTAATATTTTAGATACTTTTAAATATTATTTGTATAATTTTTTTTACACGTTTGCTCTCTCTCTCTCTCACTCTCTCTCTCTATATATATACATATATGGAGGTTAAGTGAAGAATTTTTAGACATGTTTTCCTTACGGGTAGTTTACAAAAATTTAGGTAGCTTCAAACATTATTTGTGAATAATATAGAATATTTTAGATGCTTTCATAGATGTTATAAAATATTTTAAGTGTTTTTAATATTTATATATCACACTTAAAAAGAATATTTTGCCAAAAAAAAAAACATTAAATACACATTGTAAATGTTAATAGAAACAATCTTCAGTGTTCGTCATTGATTTTGTCAAATCAAAACTCATAAAATCGGTGAAGTCTGTACGTAAAGTCTATCTATACTAAAAATGGTAAATTCAAAATTCTTTATCTACTTTCTTTTTTTCCTTATCTAATTCCTTCTTATTATCTAAGGGCACATTTGGTTGGGAGGATTAGATAGGATAAGCACTTTTATCCTGAATAATCCTATGTTTGTTTATTATGATTGTGGCCCGCAATAAAGTGTCCGGCCCGCGATAAATATGGCCTCAATCCTGAAGTATGCCGATTAAGTAATCTTCTCTTGGACCCCAAGATTCAATTTATCTGGACATTTTGAAATAGATGAATTGACTATTTTAGCCCTCAAAAAGGCAATAGAAACCACACCACAGATCTACAATCGGGAATGGTGTGCAATCGACTTTTCTGAAACTCTCCTCAACCCAGGTATACTGTCGTCCCTTCCACTTCAATTCTTCGTTATTTTCCATTTCTTTCTTTTTTTTTTCTTTTTTTTTTTGCACAGATTTGTGTGTGTTGTGTGCATTGTAATGTTCGGTCGTTTCATTATTTTCTTTTTTTCCGTTCATATGTTTTCAAACCCTAACCCTAAACACAACATTACTCTTTCGAAGCATCGAATGTTGTACGGAAGTAGGCCTACGATATTGAACGAAACTAATCATCGGTCCTGTTTGAAAATTATACGGAAGTAGGCCTACGATATCGACGAATCTGGTATTTGCCCCTGATGCTACGTTTCAAACAATTGTTGTTTGAAAATTTTAGATACTGCTGTATTAGACAGATTATAGATTTCACCACACTTTGATATTTTAAACTGAAAAGTCATGCCCAATTACAGTGTCGGGCCATAATACAGGGAAATAGTATCCCCTATTTCTTTTGCAGTTATGGATTAATGTTGAGAAGTTCTAATTTTGTCCTTTGGTTTTTCAATTAAAGTATGATTTATGTTGACAATGATGAGTTCATAATGTTTTGGTAAGCTCACGAACTTTAGGCTTTGGATTTACAAGAATGGTTGGCGAAAGAATGTTAATGTGGTGTGGATCCTTTATATACATATGCTTGAATGGTTGTTGCAGGTGACAGGGCTTAAAGAACTCCACAATTTATAAATCCATAACATCTAGCTTTGGTAATAATTATGCTCTCTGTTATATATTATTATGCTTATTATTAGAGCTGAGACCAAATATGTCCTCCATCTTATTGTTGTGTATGTATCATAGATTGATTCATTTTTATGTTTGTTACTTATTTATTTGTGAACATGTTTTCCATTCAGTATAGGACTAGGTTAGGGTGTAATTGCTTAATTTTCTCCCGATTATTGTTATATTCTGCAATGAATAAATATATTTGTCTTCCTTGTCATAAATGCCCAACCAATGATTAGAGACCCCAAGGATGAATCTCCAAACCCAAGAAGCGGAGGCGATATTTTTCATGGAAGAAATCCTGAATGTGTTCAAGATTGTTTTCTTGTTTGCGTACATTTACTTAAAAATGGTAGTTCATCCAAGTAATCGCCGTACAATTACGCGGCGTTCGCACCGAATAACCTACCGAATGGCAGATCGACTTCCTAAGCAGATAGAGCACATGAAGCAGTTAATAGATATTAGTGATGAAACATGTGTTCAACAACTTCGAATGGACCGTGATGCCTTTGGTAGGTTATGTTATTTATTGGAACATGTTGGTAGACTACAAAACACAAGAAATGTTATAATAAGTGAACAAGTTGCAATCTTCTTGAGCGTCTTAGCCCACCATAAAAAAAATGTAGTCGTAAAGTTTGATTTTAGAAGGTCGGGACAAACAATTAGTAAATTATTCCATAATGTTCTTCGTGCCGTCCTTCGACTATACCCGCTTCTTCTTGTACAACCAAGCCCTGTGGATGATTCCTGCACTGATTGGAGATGGAAATGGTTTAAGGTGATGCTTTAATACTCTCCAAATTTATGTATTTCAGTTTTTTGGTCATTTAATTTGTTTCTTAATATATGAATTTTACTCATGTACAGGGATGCTTAGGTGCACTTGATGGTACATATATACCTGTTCGTGTTCCTTCACACATGCACGGTCGGTATCGGAATCGAAAAACTTCCATTTGCGTAAATGTTCTTGGTGTATGTAATCGAGAAATGAATTTCTCATACGTACTAACTGGTTGGGAAGGGTCCGCGGCAGACAGTCGTGTCCTACGGGATGCTGTGCACAGGAATGGAGGGTTGCGTGTACCCATCGGTAAAATTTTAAACTTAAGTGTTATGTTAAGTAAACCCAACATTTTCAATTTATGTTATAAACAAACAGTCTAAATATTAGTATTTTTAAAAATAAAATATTTATTGGTCATTGTTTGTGTGTGACAAAAACAGGTAATTATTACCTTTGCGATGGTGGTTACCCAAATGGGCCTGGATTTCTTGCTCCTTATAGAGGTGTAAGATATCATTTAGATGACTTTGGTGATGGTAATCGTGCGCCTACAAACTATCGAGAATTGTTCAACTTAAGACATGCTAGGGCACGAAATGTGATAGAGCGGTCATTTGGTGTTTTGAAGATGCGGTGGGCTGTCCTTAGGAGCAAAACATTTTTCAGTATAGCCACGCAGAATAAAATAATACTTGCATGTTGCTTACTTCAAAATTACATCCGCGCATCTATGAATGTCGACCCGATGGAATTTGATGGAGAATCTTTTGTGAGTCAATCTGAAAACCATAGTGGTGAAGATCCCCCTGAATATGTAGATGTTGTAGATCCCACTCCGGAATTTTCAAATTGGAGGGATACCTTGGCGATATCTATGTTTAATGAATGGGAACGCGAAAATTGATTAAATATTCATTTTGTTATATTGACAATTAGTATCTTTTGATGTATTTGTTGAACTGCTTTATGCATGAGTGTATTGTACTTTTTATATTTTTCTTGTTTGTCGCAATACAAATTTATGCAGACATAACCTTGTTACTTTATTCATTGGTAATGTTCTACTTACTTGTACTAAAAATAATCTTACAGGTACCTAAGGTTATGAAAGTATTGTTGTCCAATGCACATTTTTTTTATTTTTATTGTTTGCTTACATTAATGAGTTTCTGCAAGTGTTGATTCCAGTTCATTAATGGTGTCATCTGCTACCGGGGGAAGAAATTCTAAATCAAACGGCAATCGACGGGTATGGACGATGGAGGAAGAACGTGCATTAATAAATGGACTAAAGGAACTTGTATCTCGTGGCTGGAAATGCGACAATGGTTTCAGAAATGGCTATACTGCGTTGCTGGAAAAACATATGTCTGATGTTTTCCCAAACACCGACCTTAAAGCAGAACCTCATATATCATCAAAGATTAGCGTGTGGAAAAAAAATTATGGTTTAATAGCCGGTATGATGGCGACCTCCGGCTTTGGTTGGAGTGATACCGGAAACATGGTGACTGTGAGGGAAGAAGACGTATGGATTGAATACCTAAAGGTTTGAGTTCCTCTTGTTTGTTTAAGCTTTTTATATCCACAGTTGTAGTTTTCCATGTGTTGTGTTGTTTATTTGAAGAGAAAATTTGTTGTACATTAATTTTTTTTTTTTTTAATTGTAATAGGTTCAACCAAAAGTTAAAGGAATGCGTTACAAGTCGTGGCCTTATTACGCTGATTGGGTTGAAGTGTTTGGAAAAGATAGGGCAACAGGCCAGGGGGCAATGGGATTTACAGATGCAGTCAATGAAGTATTACACAACAACACAGAGCCAATACCGGTCCCTACAACCCCGCAACACGTACCACAATATTCATTTGATCCTCTACATGAAAATTTGATGGAGACCTGTTCGGCTCAAGGTGGTGACAATAGTTGTTCGAGTAAGGGAAAGCGCTCCTTGAAAAGAAAACGTGTGTTCGAAGCAGAGGACCAAATTGTGTCTATGTTGTCTTCATTCTGTGATAATGCCAATGAACGTTTTTCAGAATTTGCTAAAGGAGCCGGTTTCCAAAATGCTGCAAAAGAACAACGTAAGGCCGTGTATGAGGAGCTACATTTAATTCCTGGGTTGGTTACCGGCCAAAAAGTGGCTGTCGCTAGATATTTATGCAAAAACAATGATGAGCTCGATCTTTTCTTTAGTATGGACCTTGATGGTAAAATCTCAATGGTGCAACAGATCTTACAAGATTTGTAAGGTCTTCAAGTGGAGTATGCTTCTTTTTGTCCATGGCGTTGTGGGAAATGTACGTCAGTACTCTATTTGTGTTGGTGATGACACTAACTTTTGTGGCTTTTGTGTGACATTGTTTTGCATTGATGACTTTTGTGTCTTTTGTGTGACAATGTTTTGCATTGCTCATCCGACTGCTCATTCATTGTAATAGGACCACTTAAGTAATGTACAATGCACTTAAATCCTTGTATTTTTCAATTTTAGTAGACGCCTTTCATTATACAAATGTCCATTTTAATGGTTGTATGTCATGGATGGGCTGGTACTTTTTTCAATTTTAGTTGATGTCTTCCATTTGCAAATGTCTGGATGGCACTGCGGTGACTCAAAAAAGCTATATGTAAGTCTTGATTCGGTCTTGACCTCCACAATTCTTCGTCAAGTTCACTGCAAAAAATATTATTTTATAGATTTGGAGGCTATAAAATACATGTTATTTTATTAATTGTAGTTTAAAGGCTGTAATTAGTTAATATTGATAGTTGAAATGCTTATGCTTTATAATATAATTGCACTCGTTTTTTATTTAAGATGTAAAAATTAATTTTCCAACTTTTTCTTATACAAACATTCCTAGCAACCTAAATTTTAAAACTGTGTATAGAAATGTTTTATTGTAATTCATATAATAATGACCCATTAATAATTTATATATAATATTTATTTATATAAAATAGATATGATTAAAGAGAAATTTATAATAATTATTTTTGGTTCTTTAAATAATATTTAGAATATATTATTAGGTCCTAAGCAATTGTAGATTTTAACCTTTTAAATTAGAATATTTTTTTTTTTTTAAAAAAAAATCATTTCAAGGACGTAGGGTTTAGAATATTTAATTTTTATTTAGAATATTTATTTTTAATTTTTATAATATATTATTTAGAATGTTGTGTCCAGGTTCAAATTCCCCAAAACAGGTCATCATTGAGAAACAATAAAACCTAATTTGGCATTTTCAACTCTTACCTCTCATTTTCGCCGACGGAAAGCAAAGAAGCAGAGGGCTTTCAACCCAACTTCAATTTCCAGGTTATTATTAGCCTCCATTAAGTTTAACATGCTTGTAGTCTTCACCATTATTGGACTGTAACTTACCATAGTCATTGCAATTTAAGGGTTATCTTGGTCGGGTGGTTACTTGTTCAAATTTTTGCTTCTTAGGGCAAGAAAGTTGAATGTTCAACAAACTGCGACCACATCCCGGCGCATACTGTATCATACTATCCACATATTTCTTTATTTTTTCGTATTTTCATAGCCCATCTTCGATATTTTTCGTAGCTCAACTTCAGGTCGTTTTTTATTTTTCACGCGTGAGTGTATGTCAAAATTTCGCATATGTATATTTCTGTGATGTCTTGTATATTTCTCATTTATGTACCATATTGGTGAGTTTATAGTTCTCTGTTATTGTGGTGAATTTTTTTTTTATTATTTCCTTTATTCATTTTTGGCCAGGTCACTAAAAAAATATAGTTCTGTCTGCTATGAGCTCAATTCATATGCTTTCTACAAAATGGAAAGCAAAGAATGTTATGGGAAATTTGGCCCTGTTCATAATATAGTATCCATTTTCTGCAGCTATGAGTTCGTCACATGGCAGTTGGACCTCTGGGAACAATGTTGTGCATAACGTAGATATGATTTGTAATTGTCGAGAAAAATTGAGTTTGAAGACATCTTGGACCTCAAGAAATCCGGGAAGGAGATACTGGGCATGCCCTAATTATGGGGTAAACGTTTATTACCAATTAATGCAAATCAGTCTAATTTAATGTTTATTGGTATTTTGTTTTTCTATTATTCTTTGTTTGGAATCCGTCCAAACACGTAATGCCGCTAACTATTTTTCAGACTCGTGGGTACTGTGGATATTTCATGTGGTTGGATCCTGATATTTGTGAAAGAGCCAAAAACATTATACCAGGTTTGCTGAACAAAATTAATAAGTACAACCATGAAATTGAGCAATGCCAGAGCAAACGATGTGAATTAGAGCTTCAGTTGGCTGTTGCAAGGAAAAAACTGGAGGATATGGAGTCAAAGTTGAATGCTTCCAAGATATATAATCAAAAATTATGGAGCGCTATTATATGTCTTTCAATGATCATTTTACTTTTCACCATTCTAGGAAAATAATTGTACTTTTGTCCAATATAAGACATGTATGACAGTTGTTTGTAGTGACTTTAACGCCACCCAATTTCGATTCACTAGACTGGGTTATTTCTTTCTACCTGCAATGTAATCAAATTTTCCTTATATTAAGTTCGATGAGTTCTTAGATGATCTAACGTGCTTCACTATAACGTATAATTTGATAAAATTCTCTTTTTATACACAGCATTGGAACAACATCTCTTACTAATAAATATGTAACTAACAAATTCGCCAACTTTATCTTCATTTATCTATTGCTGGATCATAATTTGGCAACTGTTGCTCCAGTTTTCATTAACTGTTGCTCTATTTTTCATTATGTTGCTCCATTTTTCATTAAGTTTCAACTTTGTCCAACCAAACTGAAGCAACAAAAAGTGTTGTAATTGAACAATACTAACTGCATTTCATATTGTTCCAAAACTCATTTAATAAATTTGAGGGCATAAATTAAGCAAAGTATAGAAAATATATCCATCTAACCATTACATACTGGGATAAGCACAGAAAATATATCAGGCAAAATAAAATGCAATGATGCATTTAGAAGTTGCTTTATTGAAGATTGTCAGTATTAAGTGCATTTGATGGTTGGGCAAGTAAAGGCCAGTCATTAAGGGATTCATTAATAATTGACTTGATATTTACCTAACACAATAATCCCTCATTACACAAAGGATGTTACATACATAGTGCTTCTATATAATAGTGTTGCTCTTGCTCAGTTTCAGATGTACCAACTTCAACCCATTTGTAGACTCCAACAATAAGGTAAATCGTATTAGCACTTTCAAATTATATTTGGAGCTTTCAATCACAACCTGATGCTTCCAATTTTTTTCTGCAATAATATAAGCTACTGACATTTCTTCTCACAGTCTCAGCTGCAAAAGATGGACAGGAACTCACGTGTGGACCAGATTGCGAAGCGCTATCGGGGGACGGGGTGGACTGAACATGAAGAGAAAGTCCTCCACCGAATGTTTTTTCGGAGATGCCGTGAAACCCCTGACATACACAGGCCCCATGTCTTCAATTCTCTATGGGATGGGTTGGCCCGTGAGTTATCTGTACTCATGCAAAAAGATTTTTCCTTGGTCATGGTACGAGCAAAGGTCCATCGTCTTAGAACTCTTTACCGCGACTTTGTAGTCTATCTCAGTATTCCCGGCGTCATGGTACATGACGATGGTGGCTTAGTAAGTGTTAATCAGTCATATTGGCAATACGTTGGCGAGGTAACCTGTTGTTTAATTTTATATATCTTATTTGCCTATGAACTTTAGTATTATAAAGTGTATTTTTTATCATTTTTCATTCATTCATGTTTAGGAAACTGACCGTGAGGTGTTTTTCCGGTGGAATGGGTTCCTTTGGTACAACGCATGCGTCGAGGTATTCGACGAACGCGCGGCAGCAGATATTGATATGGAGGGAGGTCCTGGTACATCCATTCTCGATCCCATTCATCTTGATGATATCGAGTCACTTGATGATAGCAACGATGACAATATGGACGACCTTCTGGTGGAGGAAGAGCAAGAACCATTCCAAGAACCACCCGCACCAATTGATGTGTACGATGTGGTCGATGACTTTCTCCATCAGGAAATGGAGGTGGATACCGATGTCGAGTCGTGTGTCGACTCAAACTAGTTATATGGTTTTCCTCGTAACGGGATAAGATGACTACTACTTTTGTCTTTTGTGGTCCTATGTGGTCATCTTGTCATAAGTGATGGGTTATATAACTATCTGCCCCAATGTTTTAACATAGGTTTGGGTGTATTTTGTTGCTATATTTTGCTTACTTATGTTGCTTCAGTAAAACTCATGACTAGAATGGGTGGGCTTCAATCTTAGGGCAACAGTTATTATTTGTGTGTAATTTCATGCATTATGGTATGGTATGTGTTTTGCTTACTGTAATGCATATCATCAGTTGATGTGTGCTTTGATGCATGATGTAGTATGCTTTTTGTTTTATGAAATGTTGTGCCCATTTTTTTTCCCAAATGTAATGACACTCACATTGTTGCATCATATTAATTACTCAGAAACATCAACATATATTCCTGCATGGGTATTCAAATTC